CAGCGAAAAGAAGCTAATAAAATTAAAGGTGGCTCAGAATCATGTGCCGACCTAATAATTGTAACATCTCATCGGACTGATAGGATAAGAGCCTCGATCTTTCTGCTTGTTATGTTCATCATTTCCTGCCCAAGTAGCGATGTTTCCAATCCCTCTGGGATAGGTGGACTGCTGGACCATTTTTTGCTCAAAGGTAGAGCAATGTCCAGATAAGCGGCCGTATTGTGCATTATTTTGTAGAATGCCTGAAAGATAATGTCTCCACGATTATAAATGGTAGTCAAATGTACAGGAAATCCTAGAGCTAGTGATCCGGCTTGAATACTGCTGTTGCTGCGATCAAAAGAGTGAGGGCTACTATTGTCCTTACCCCTTTGATCGTAACAAATCGTTTGGGCGATGTTAGATTGGATCAATTGGTCTTAGGTTAGTCGCGGAAACGCAGTAATTGCCAATTAAGCGCTGCCTTTTTTCAATCTGTTGTCGTATCTAGTGCATTCCAATTATGGGTATTAAATGAAATTGAAGCACTAGAATAAGTTGGCAAGCTCACAAAACTATATAGCACTTAAAACTAATTTGTTGAGGAAGTAATTTCATGATTCAGCGAAGTAATGAAATAAATTGATAATTCAGAACAAATTCACAACCATTATGCTACTACTGACTTCTCTCGCAGCCAAAGAGCAGGCTGTTTCTATCAAATTTATGATTCTAGCATTCCTGTTAGGCTCAGAAAGTGGCCTTTACAGCCTTTCAGCCTTGACTCCTAGTGATCTTTACTACATAATTATCTCACGTAATCAGTTCCTGAGCCAACTAAAAGCCGGCGTCACCTTGGGAATCGCTCCATTCGCCAAGTCTGACACCAGCCTAGCGGACTTTCTAATTATCTCAGTGTTGGGGAAATGGTATGAGGGTTCTTTGAGAGTGGAAACACAGGCTGAAAGATTGGACATCACGACCCTTTTATGGGTCAAAGAAGCTTATGATGCCTTCACGATTTTGAACAATAGTCGAAAGCACGGCACATCCTAAACTTATTAATCGGTGCTAAGTAGTG